AGGATCCATCCTGCAAAGAGCCTGAGGTCACCCAGAACCTCCACTCACTGTTCTGACTCTTGTAGAACAAGGTGTCCTGCAGCTGGGCTGGCTCTCCAGGTCCAGCCATCCACCTCTGCAGGATGGCCCAGAGGCTGGGGCTCTGGGTAACAAGAGCAACTTCTCTTGCTGTGCCTCCTCTCCACCCCTCATCCTCCCTCCACCCTGCAGCACTCACGTCTATGCCATCCTTGCCAGATGGTCCAGGAGGTCCTCGTGGTCCAGGAGGGCCTTGTGGTCCCACTCTCTGAAAGGATTAGGAGAAAGAAAGGATTTATTTTTGCATCAGAAGAAACATACGGGCTGAATCAGACAGCAGTGCCTGAGTCCTATGTCTGCTCTAACCTGTCTCCATCCCTCAGCCCCCTCCTTACCCTCCTGGGTGGACTCAGAGGAGCTCAGGACTTGTGCAAGGCTCTTTAGAAAGCCTTTTAGACTGAACACGTCTTCAGGGCTCCCAACTCATTCATCTGGTTGTTTATGCTGGGAATCCGAGCTGCTGGCTGGGCAGCAATTGGGTTTGGTTATGAAGGAAACAGTTCTCACTGCCTCCAGACCCCCTTTTGTTTTGGGCAGAGGAGGAAATGCAAAGCCTGTGGATAATAGGTGCCAAGTGCTTGGCATTCAAAATGAATGTATAGTCCCAGTCTGATGGGGTGGTGGAATAGCCAGGTAGACACTGCTGAAGACAGAAGGAGAAAGGAAAATCTCCTCAGAGCAGGACGCCACTCGAAAATCTGGGGTTTTGGAGGAGGTCTGAGGTGGGGGGAAGGAAAGCAAGGTCCAATAAATGACTTCTGTATGGAGAGGGCTCCAGAGAGTAACTTGCTGTAGCTTCAGTGAACAAAGGTTTCATTGTGGAAGCAGCTCTGCTCACAGCAGATGAGGGCAGCTCGGAATTCTCAAGCCAGACTGCAGAAATTCCTCACTAACACAGTGAAAAACCTCAGCCAAGAGTGACTTCCCCAGGTAATAATATTAACGCCATACAGGGAAGTTTAATATAGATCCATGTCTGAAGTGAAGAAGGGTTCAATATGCTATTTGCATAAATGTAAAAGGTGAAAATTGATTGAGGGAAGGAATAAGATTCAGATGAAGAGCCAGATCAGATCAGTCTCACAGCCTGTCACTTCCCTGGAAAAGGCAACTTTCCCTTACACCAACAGGTCCCCCCTTTCCAAGGCTTTATCTCTCATAACTGCAGCCCTGAATGGGAAGACAAGACATACTTTTAGGGGAAGCTTAAAGCAGCAGTTCCTACCCAGGAGAAGCCTACCTGGGCAGGTACAAACCCAGGAGTGCTTGCCAGGCACCCTGTAACAGCACCAGCAACACACACGTTTCTAATGAGCTTCAGACTCTACTACCCTGCCTCTTGCCCCAGCTCATCCTGCAGGCATCACATACAGATCGCAGTACATTGTGCATTTTCTCTTGAGCATTGAGACTTATAAATGAGGCTTCTTACCTGAGCTGATGTTGTGGCTAACAGCCAGGACAGGAAGAGAAGCCCAAGAGCAGAGGATCCAGCCATGGTGCCCAGGCTCTGCCTCTCCCAGCTCCTCCTGGGCAGCTACACCGGGTCCTCCTCCAGGCTCCAGCAGATCCCTCCTCCTCCTGGGTCTCAGCTTACAGACTCCTCGCCTCCAGAGAAACCTGCGGCTCCAGCTGGAGGGGCAGAGCTGGGAGGAGAGGGGAGGTTTGGGAAGGAGGTGGGAGAGGAGGGGGAGCAGGCAGGGGGGCTCTGCCCCAGCCCGCAGCAGGGAGGGAGCCCAGGGAAGGGCTGGACTTGCAGACTTTGCAGACAATGCAAAATTCGGCTGCTCCAGCTGGAGATGCAAAGATGTTCCCAGGGTCTCACCCGGGCTGTTCCTCAAAGCCCATCAGCCCCTCAGTGCGGGACAGATAAAATGCAAGACAGAGCAAGAGTCACTCAGTGCCTGAAGCTACTTAACTTCACCAGAGCAATTCATGCACCTGTAAGGAGTGCAAGATGCACCACACAGGGGTGCTTGCTGCTTTGCAAGATGGTTTATTATCTCTGGAGGTGGATTCACATCTGTTTTGTTGGGGGTTTTTTGAGGGACATTTAAAGAATGGCAACTGACCTCATGAGAAAGTGACAAATCCTGACCAGAGAACAGAGACAGATACAAGGAGACAAAAGGGGAAATGTGCTCAGAGACAAAAGAAAAAAGAATTGCCTTTGAAATACTTGCAAGGAGGGAACAGGATGTCAGTGCCCAGCTAGGTGATCCCAAATGGCAATATATTCACAAAGAGCCATCTGCAAATAGCTTCATGCTTCCCTTTATTGATTAAAGTTAATTGAATCCAAAGCAGAGCATGGAAGTGGAGAGGAACAGGTCAACATTCATCAGGACTGAGATGACACTGCTGAGGTGGTTAGCAAGAGGAGAGCAGAAGTGGAAAAACAAAGCTTAAAAAATGAAATACCAGGTTTCAGTTGGGCACCCTTATTCCAGGAGGTTTGTATGGGCACAGTGTGTGTCTGTCCACCTCCCCAGCAGCCAATATTCCACCAACCTTGACAGAGGGATAAAGGGATCAAGGTTTACTAAGTTTCTACAACAAGATTTTGTGGAACAGGCAGCTGGGGACAGAAAGGGCATGTGTTTCTCTTTGGATGGCTTCAAAGCACATGGAATGCTTTATTAGCCACCCCAGAACCCACAGAGGGGGCAGAAGTGAAGTCACACAAATTGCTTCAGAGCTTGTATCTCTTTCACACTGAGGCCAAGAGAGAAGGCAAAGCAGATCCAAATCCTGCTCTTCGAAGATGAAAAACATGCAACTGGAAACTGGTATGCATTGTAGTCATGCTTTAATAGGTGACAGTAACAGAACAGATTCCACAATACAGCTTTGACTGCTGGAAAACATCCTGTGAACTCACTGCAAACACCTGCAGCCAAGGCTGTGAACCTGGTGGTGAGAGGGAAGTTTGGTTTGAGCACTCCAGCCTGGGGCTCACAGTGAAATCCCATCAAACACAAAACCACACCTCACATCACCATAACAAGATACATAACATATGCCCCAGCTGAGCACATTCACAACAAGAACTTCATTAAATAAGAAAATTACTATAAATCTGTACAAAAGCCATGAATTTTTTTATGAAAGAATTTTCACTTAGCATCTTCAAGTATTTATATCTGTGTATTCTCATTGGCTCTTTAACTCCATTTATTCATAAGAAGGAAAAAACCCTACATGTTTTAAAAACATTAAAGCCTTTCTCCAGCATGTGTGTGACCAGGACCTTTGTTAAGCTTGCAGACTTTCATTCCCACACACGTGTATGTGGCATGTTGGACCAGGACAGTCTGGGAAGGGAAGTCACTGATCAAATTCCTTGCAAGGTGGAACTACTTAGGACTGTAGCAGAGAGAGGAAAAACATTAACACTGTGCAGGCTACAGAACCTGCCCTCTGGCAAGGCAGGCAAGTCTCTAGCCATCTACACAAACCAAATAGGACCCAAACACCCACAAACTCAATCAATCTGAGCAAACAGGAAGATCAGACCTTCTGGCTGTTGGAAACCATTTCCTCCGCTTCGCAAAGCAAGTCCTCTGTTGTCACCCCCAGGAGCTCAAGCGCTAAATTGTTTAATGCTCCTTCAGACTTGGTTGAATACTGTATAAATCAGGCAGAGCAGCTAACAGGGAGGTCAGCAACATCAAGGCTGGCAAGGTCTGAAAGTAAATTCTTGAGGGCTATAAATAAATGAAGCAGACAAGTGTAGCCCCTCCAATTAAAGTTTCAATTAACTGCTCACAAAGCCCAGTGGTTTCCAGACATGTTGCACTGTAACATGCCCTCACTGTCTGACATGCTGACCATTAATGGTAAAACAATCCTGCCTCAAACTAGGAAGTGGGTTAAATTTGACACATCTAACTTCATGGAATGGGTCTGTGGAAAAGACAGTCCCACTGCAAATTAAAGGCAGAGCCTGCAAAGATGCAATGACAAATACCTGTTCCATTTTGGCTACTGAGGAAGGAGGCACCAGGGACTCTCTGAACCAGTAGTGGGCATAAATATCTGTGGAAGACTATCAAGGGTCTGAAAGTGGTGGAAAAACCTGGGGAGAAGCAGCTCTAGTCAGCTTCATGTGGAGCCTGAAGGTTTTTTCCCTTAGAAACCAGTAGACAAATCATATTCTCAATTCTAACCAGAGGTACAAAGCAACTTCTGCAGGGAATAAATGGAACAAATTAATCAGCACCTGTGCCCAAAGGTTAATACTGCTCAGAGGTACCTTTTGGCTACACATCCCAGTCTAAAGTCAAACCTGCTTTCTTTACAGGAGGAGAGGTAACTATTCTCTTTCCTGATGTGAAACACAATCTTTCAGGCAAATGCCACAAAAATAATTATGCTCTAGGAAGCAAACACACAGCATCTTTGCCAGGAATAAACCTCCTGGGAAGGTAAAGCCTTTCCAAATAAGAAACGGAGTCACAAGGTGATAGAAAGGTCTGGCAAATTAGGTCATGCTAAATTAGGCCATACACTAAAAATCATGTATTTAACAAATACTTGACTAGTTCAAACAAGGAAACAGATTGTTACAGTTTCCCTCTGCTGTTTAAGAAGGGACACATCAGAACCAAAGCAAAGTGCAAAAATCCCTCTTACTCCAAGAGTGTCCTGAACATCAGATAAAAACTAGGAACAGGACACAGCCTTCTGTGAAAACAACTATATTAGTTTTCCTCTTTAAGGTAACCAAGGGCTGGATCTCAGTGAGGTACTACAGGTAATTAAAGAAGTGTGAAAGGGTAAAAGTCCAACAAGGGCTCATCTGGATCAGCCCAAAGAAAGTTGATTCTTCTGTGTACTTCTGCTGTCCAGGTGACTGAAGCTGGGTCCTAGTAGTCAGGGCAGGGTCATCTCCACTTGCTCGAGTGCTTGCAGAGCTGGTCTCACTCTGCTGCTACCTGCTCTTCATCAGGTTCTGCTCTGTCCTCAGAGCTTTCAGGTTTTTGTGCTGCAGCCTCAGCACTGTCTGCTTCAGGACAGGTGGATGCCATGCTCTGCTCGAGACTATCTGGGTCTTCTTTCTTGCCTGGGACTTCTGCTTGCCCCTTCTCACTTGCATTTTCTGTGGTTTTATGCTGTTCTACCCCATCTACCTCACTTTTGCCTCCCAGAAGTGTGCTGTTGCAGTGGTGCTGATCGTTCCTTGCTATGACTTGATCTCCACTAGACTCCAAGCCATCATTTACTGGAGAAGTCCAGCCAGTCTCAGGAAGCCCAGACCCAACCAGGGCTCTGACAGCCCCACCACTGGCATCACCACCATCCTTCTCCCTTGTTGCTTCTACAGTTGAATCCTTCTCACTGGCATTTTCTTTTACAGCCTCAGTGTTTGCAACAGATGGATTTAACTTGACACTAGAAGCAGAAAGCCCCATGTTTAGATTTATGGCCAAGTTGCATGGTTTGCTTCTGGATGTTCTTTTATCAACTTTCCTCCGTTTCACAGTTGCACCAGTTGTCTCTGGCACTGGGGAGTCTTTGGTGCCTGCATTATCTTCTTTCTGTGTTTCCTCATCCTCTCTTGCTTCTAAGAGTGGAACTGAGGAGATTTCTGCACCAATTGCACATTCTCCCAGGTTACGGGAAATGTTATCAATGTCAGTAGGGCTTTTCAGTGCCCCACATGTTTGAGCATCTGCCATATTTGCATCCAGTTTTCTCTTCTTGCTCTCCTTTGTGCAATCATTCTCTGCTGTACCCTGCACCTCTCCGGTCTCGCTGTTTAAACCCTTCTCCTCCTGCTGTGTAAATGAAGCCCCATTCTCTTCCTCACTATCCCTTCCCTTCAAAACACATTTGCTTAACTTCTCTTTTACATCTTCATCGTTCACTTTAGGCTGCAAGTCTGCAGCATCCCCAGCTTTCTGCTCCTGCTCTAGAGACTGGTTCTGATCCTCTTCCACAGATCCAACACATTTTTTATCAGGAATTTCCTGTTTATCTTCAGCCTTTTGGTGCAGCTGGGACCTGGCAGAGCGTGCCCTGTACTTGAGGAGTTTGTTGCGTGGTGCCCACACGAAGCTCCCTTGAGGTCTGAAGTGTTGCCAAGCATAGTGGACTAGTTCCCTTCTCTTCTGTTTGCTTCTGATGGTGAACAGGAAGTAATCCAAGGCACTTCTCCTGACATTTGGTAATGTTTCCTGAACGAGAGTTTCTGTCAGGAAAAACTTCACCAAGTGCACTTGATAGTGTTCATACCCCATCTCCCCCAGGCACTTCAGGATGCGTGTGATCCGCAAGTTGTTGTGGCTGTATCTGAAATAAACACATGAGCAAAGCAAGTCTTACAAGCTTGAAGTCACCAGGAACCCCCAGGGTACCTGTGAAATGTTCTGTGCATTATTGACTGCTACCTATTAAAAATTATTTGACACTGCAGGCAGGAGTACAGGCAGGCTTACTTTTAAAGCACCTACTACTGCTGTCTGCTCTTAGCAGGATTTTCCCAGTCCTTCCTGGATTGCTTGCATTTATCATCTCACTGCTTGGAAATTCAATAAACAAATCAGGGAAGCATAAGGAAGCACTCCCACTCAGAAGTTAAACCAAGTACTACAAAGGTAATTTGGTTACCTCTGGAAATGTTTCAGTGATTCCTGCTTAAAATAGGGTTCTAAACACAAGCTCTGCTAGGACAAGTATTAACACCTCCAAGTCAGTATTTCATATTTCAGGACACCAACATGAAGAATGCCCCCCTTTTAGCAGCTGCACTGGATACACAAGAAAACCAGTCCCAGCTGGTCTACTCATTACACTTGTCACCTATTAAAGTGACTGAGTTTGATGATCTACAGTAGGAGGCTGAGTTGAGAACACCTTAGCTAGCTAACATTTTTTTTTTAATCAAAAAAAGCCTTTGCTCCTCAAGGACTGAGGATTTTCTTGACTTGGACTTTTTTCCCTCCCCAGGGAGTGCCTGGCTGCAGTAAATGACCAGCACTATAAACAGGGACTCACCGGTTCAAGTTCTGAAATCGTTCAACCCAATTCTCTGATCTCTTGAGTTCTCCAGTTTCCTCGTTGACCAGAGTGATCCCATAAAACCTCAGCATCAGCTGATAAGCACGTACAAACCTTTGCATCACTTCTTCAGACTTCTTAAAGGCCTGAAAACAAGACAGACCTGCGAGTACAAGGTGCAACTCTCTAATTATCTGCAGCAGTTTAGGTGGCACTTGAATTATCAACAAGGCTTTTTTGGTATCACTAAGCATTTCATGTGCTGGTGTAGCTACTGGCAGACACAAGACAGACAAATGGTTCATGGTGCTTGAGTAAGCCCTGTTCACACTAGGGCCCCAAGGAAGCAATATAAAAAAACCCCTAGACTTCAAATATAAGACATTTAGGGAAAATCCAAACATCGTTCAGAGCTCTAAGAAAACAAAGAGACAGAAGCTTCAAATACCTGGATTTCCTGACATGTGAGTGGTTTGGCATGGAGGTTCATCCCAGGTTCACGTAAAGGGAACAGCCTGAAGGGAAAGAAATTTTCAGCCCAGAAGAGCAAAAAGATGTCATCCAACCCAGGGTACCCATTTTGTTAAAACTAAAAATGATTCCAGAAACTGGGATATCACAGGCATCTCTTGGAGAAATCACATCCTCAGGGACAGAGAAGTAGCTCACTAGATGACAAATCCCTCCCATATAAGCACTGTCACCACCAGTGGCAACATACTTTGCTTCTCTGGATCTCTCTTGTTGCCCTCATCCTTTGTTCTGCAGTTTGTTGTAAGAATTAGCATGACTGGGATACTTTGCCATGGCTGTACTGGAAAATTGAGCCTTCATAATTTCTACTGCATTGTTTCCAGAGGAATAGAACTCAATAAGAATGAAATGGATGCAGGTTTCACTGCATCCAGGTAATGCACTGCACCCAGGTAATTCTGGGCCCCTTGGGAAGCTGAATTTAGGAACACAGATACAACTGACTCTTAAAAGAACCACAACCAGAGAGTGACACTATATGCAGTTTACCACTGTATGTAAGAATGGTTTTCCTCCAGAACTTCATAGTTGTCCCACCAAGATTGAAGCAGAGTTTCAATATGTAAGCCTGAAAAGAAGAGGAAAAAAAAGAAGAAGAAATGACACCAAGCAAAAAAGAGTGAAATGAGCCCATCACCCAAGGTGGCTCATTATCCAGAGCCAAGTGTTTTCATACAGGCATTAACTTCTCTAACTAGACAACCAGCTTGCTAAGCCAGAAAAACCCCTTAGTTTTCTACCACTGAACAGAAAATTAGAGAACATAAAGCAGGAACAAGGACATTTTAAAATGCAAATTCTTAATAAGTTTGTTTGTTTTGGTGGTGGATTTTGGTTGGTTGGTTTCTGGTTTTTTATAATTGCCCCCCCAAGGATGAAGTGACTTCCACCAACTCGAGCAGCTGCAGCAGAGTTGTGTCAAACACCCACCACAGGAGATACTCACCCTTGGGCTTAAAATTAATCTCATTTTTGTAAAAGCTTAAGTTCCACATCTCTTCTTCCTCCTCAGTTTCTGATTCTGTCAAGCCCTGGAGACGAGAACAAGAAATCAACCAGCAACAATCTTTTAAAAGCCAGTATTCACTTCAGCACTTCTCCTTGCTCTCCCTCACGTTCCTTCCATGTTTCAAGCTAAATCATTGAAACGCGTTTTGGGAAGGAACAGCTTGTTCCTGAGGCACCCACATGCACCTCATCCCTCCCCTCCCACAGATGAACCCCTGAAAGGTTCAGAGCCTGTCAACGTGAAGACAAAAGGATGCCCTCAGATCTAGGAAGTGTTCCCAAACTTGGCATGCCACAAGGAAGAGCCCCAGGAGCCAGGGCATGGTGGTGGTGACAGGGTCCGTACCGGGTACCGATGCCTGTATCTCTGCAGGTCTCTTGCTGCGTTCCAGTTGCGCCTGCCTGAGCACTAGAGAAAAGAGATCAGAAAGCCAGAATAAAGTTGTCTTCTGAAAAAAAGAAGAATCAAATAAACCCCACTCAACTGAATTCAGCATCTCTCCCATTTGTTCCCCTGCCTATCGGTCTCCTGTGCCCCCCAGATCCCCCAAAACCAGCCAGTCTGTCACTGCAGCTGTTTCTCTGCATTCCTGAAGGCATCTTTGGACTAAGAGAAGTTCACTTTATATCTCCTTTAACCAAAATATTTCTTTTTCTTTCTAGCCTCGTTAATCAAGGTCTTCCTATCTTTTATTCCATTTGGGCTTTCCTACAGAAATGGTCAGAACCAGCTGGAAATCCCAAAAACCAAAATGTAATTTTCTTCCTTACAAAAAAGGTTTTAAAACCAGGCAAACCAGGCCTTGGATGTTTCTCTGAGTCACTATATACCCTGATCATGACAGATCAGACTTTATAATTGGAGAATCCAAGATGCAGAAATATTCCTTTAATTCAGGATTCTCATTCCCTGTACCCATTAAAATCAAGTTATCTTCACTTTATGCTCTAGAGCAGCCTGGCTGACTTAGCATCCTGCTGATCCAGATGGTCACATTAGGTATTTATTTTATTGGACTTCCATTCCAATAATCATCTGCATTATTGCTCATCTCTCCAAGTAACCAAACCTTATGTCAAGCCTACCTAAAACCCCCTCTAAAACAGCAGCAATAAATTTGATCTTTGCTCTTACAAGTAAAAGGCATTTTTGTTGAAACATTCCAAAACCAAACTTCACTAATAAAATAAAAAAACTACATGAAATGAGAATATCCACAGCAGTGACTCACATGGTCCCTATTAGTTGCCAAGTAACAGGTTTATCTAGTTACAGCTGAATTCACTTGATTTTATTCCTAAATCAGACTGCTCTAGAGAAAAACCTGTGGTGCCCCATTCACCTGGCAATTGAGTATCAGGTTCTTCTCACTACACAGAGGTGCTAGAGTCATTCCAAGTGTAGCATTTAGACAGAAATTGCAAAGAACAGCTTAATTTCTTCCTCTGAACTTCACAGAAATGAAAGTTTCGAGTATGACTTAAAATGTATTTTAAATTAACTGAATTAAATTTTATTTCTTTACAGTGGGATTACTTCAATCATAAGGTATTTTATTACACTCCATAAGCAACAGACAGGTTTAATCTTGCTGAGTGCTGAACCAACTTGAACTGTTAAAGAGTTTGAAAGTGTTCTATTAAAGCAGAACCCCCCAAATGAGCAAGATTGCTCCTGAAGAAAAGAAGCCACCCAGTGTGAAGGACTGAACAGCCAGTGCTCAACACCAGCTCACAGCAAGAGCAGGAGCTTTGTGAAAGGGTGAGAAGACATGTAGACTCTTGCAAAATAAGCATTTTAAGTAACTTAGAAGAAAGAATCTGCAAATGTTCTCCCAAGTAATTTTTTAACTCAATTTCATACTTGCTAACCTCATTTGCCCAGAGAAAAATTAAAGAAACAAACCCACTTTCTAGTGACCACCGATCACTGGTTCATTAATTAAGGCACAAACTGGATTAGACTTTTTAACACCTTGTTGTAATGAAGTCATCCATTCAGCTGCCCTGGTGATTGTTAATATTTATGAAGTCTGCACAGCACTTGGAAGATCAACCCTTTACCCATAGAGTGAGGTCATCAAAGCAGAATTTTTAAAATTACATTTCCAAAATACATCTACACACACTTATTCCCCCATACTTTGGTGACAGGAATTAAATAAAGCTCCAGTTGGTTTTTAAATGTAGTAACTCATGATGACATAAAGTAATGCTTGTTTACATTGCAACACATTTCCTTTTATATATATACAACACAGGCCAAAACAGGTGGCAAAACCTCTGACAGCCACGTGGGATTAGAAATCCAACCCTGGTGTCCATCCTCAGAATCTATCCAGCCTGCAGACACACACAATTATAAAATGCTTTGCTACACAGCTAACATTTGGGGAAAAAAAGTGGCTGCAAACACAAGAGTAAGAAATATGCTCAGCCAGAACAGATCAGCATCCTTGTCTTGCTGCAGCTGTAGGCAGGGACTGGGATTAAGCACCCAGAAATTCATTGATGCTTTCAACTTCAGCTTTTGAACACCAAGGATGAAATTCTGATACATGTGGAATTGATGAAAATTCTGTTACAGAAGAGTCTATTTCCAGATATTCTTGACACTGAAGGTTCTAAAATAACAGCCTTTAACACAGTCAGGTGGGACTGGCTCCAATTTTTAGAGAGAACCGGTTTGCTGAAGAGTGAGTGTAGATACAGCTGCAATGCCACAGTGCAAGGTGCTGTAAGGCTTGTTAAGGTAGATCCAGGAGAAAGCTGCTCTGGAGCACAGAATTAAAGGGAAAACAAGACAGGGAAGCACAGATAGCAAAACTCAGCCCTCCCTCCCAGCTCCTGTGTCTCTATCAGCTTCCATTTAAGCCACACACAAACACAACCTTCACTTTCCTCCCAGGTTAAAGACAAATCAAGCTGCAAGACTGAAACCTGCACACATCCATCAGCACCCTTATTTCTCACAGCTCTGCCAGGCAATCTAAGTGGATTTCTGTCCCCAAACCTGCAGCACATCAGTTGGGATGTGATGGCTTTGCAGAGAGCAGGAGGAAAGCAGAGGACAGAGCCAGGAGAGGGTCACACAAATATCTGGCTGAAAACTGGAAATCAGCTGCAGTCAAAGGGATGAAAAAGCATGTGGATTGTGAACACAACACAGGAGTGAAACCATGAGAGAATCCTAGAGGAGTATTTGAAACCTTTTGTTGATGAAGTTAGGAGAAGGCAGAACTACAGGGCTTGTGATTAAAACAAGGCTCTGAGCAGAGGAACGTGAACCCTGTGCATTGCAGCAGACTGAGAGGTCACCTTAAAATGAGCACAAACCCCAAGGTTTTCAGCACTCACTCCTAGAAGCCAGAAGCAGTGAAATGCAGAACAGCTGGGAAGACACACCTGCAGGAGCTTCAAACCACAAAACGTGGAGTATTTGCAGAGAGACGAGTGAAACGCAAAGATAAACGTTGAATTTTAAGTTGTTTTTAAGCGTGTAGTGAGAATAATAATGAAAAGCCTCTTACTTCAGTATTGAACAAAAACTTTATCAGCTTCAGCCATAAAGTATACCACCTAGGCTGAGGGGAGAAGAATGAGAATTAGTGTAATATAAGGAGAAATAGGAACTAGCTTTGGAAACTGACTTGTGCCTTTGGCAGGTTGTAAAAGCATAAATGGACAGCAGATTTACTATTTCTTTTTGTATTAATTCTCAATGCCCTTAAAACATTTTTCAGGCACTGTCAGACAGAGGTGACTACACATTCATCCCTGAGGGAAGGAATCCTCTATAAAGATGCAGAACAACATTCCAGGAGCTACAAGTCTCAGGGACAACATCCTCCTTTGTAAGGCAAACTTTGAAAAGTCCACTCACTACACTGGAAAAAATGGTCCTTGCTTGAGTTGTCACAATCCAGAAGCTGCTCTAAGGAAATAAATAAATAGTAATCTGAAGAAAAACACACATTCAAAAAGAATAATCTTAGAGTTCTGGAGGCATTAAAACTTGGGAACAAAACCAACACTCCAGCTGTGTGCAAAAGAACATTTCTTTAAAGGAAATCCCTGCCTCTACCTTTAAGTACCCCAACTATTCTGCCTAAAACACTTGGGGTCTTTCACAGACCCCCCTGCACAGCTGAGGTTGTGCAGTGTCATGAGTGTCACGACACGTTTGCAGTGTCATGAGTGTTTTTGCAACACTATCTTGCACAGAAAACATTTTCTTTTTTCCCAAGGGAGGTTATTTTAACATCTTAAGGCTTATTAAAACATTGCATATTAAAGCCTTCCAATGAATACACTTTTAAAGGAGCTTATCTGCCTCTTTATTTTCCAAGGACATGGATTAGTCACTAAAACGATAGTCAAGTGAAGGATTTACTTTCCTTTTCCCCAAAAGGGGAGGAGTTCAGCTACCAGACCACAGGGTACTTTGACTGACCCAGGAAATACTGAAATACAGAGGCAGTTTTGCATTTGCCAAAGCAATGCTCTAGAGATTATTGGTGCTCAGCATCAAACTCAAACATACTGATGCTAAAGGCAGGAACCTGAGACTAACAAGTTCCTTTTATTTTAAATATAAAGAGAGGTGGTCACATTTTGCATCACCAGTGCTCACACAGCTGCAGGTCTGGGAACATCAGACCTTTTTTGTTTTCAGAGGGGCTTTATAAATGTGCCCTCTAGAAAAAACAACTCGCCCCAAAGCAACAAAAGTTCCAGCTGGGTTTTGGAAGTGAGCAGATGTTATGTGATGGCTTTTAAACGAGGGCACAAAAGAGAACAAAAGGCCACCATGCAGAGATGAGGGAACTGGCAGAAAATTGAGCAGGAGCTGCAGGTCCATGTCAGGACACCAAGCCCAAGCAGGGGGCAGAACTTGGGTTGACGGGATCAAAGGAGCCAGATCACAGGGCACAGCGGGGAGACAAATGAACATAAAACGTTAAACCCCAACTCGTAGGAGGGTAATAAAACTTAAGGGGGTCACGAAGTCCCAGCACAGCTCTGCCTTTGCCCCCCCCGGGCACCTCTGCCCCTTTGAGATCGGCCCCGAGACAGGGCAACACAGCTCGGGCTTCCCACCAGTCTGTCCAGCTGCTCCAGTTCCCGACATGAACCGAGGGCAGCAGAGAGAGGCCCAAACACAACGGCAGCACCGAGCCTGGGACCATCCTCCCTCATCCGCCCCGCACCCGAGAGGATCCCAAGGGCTCCGGGAACCCCCCGGTCCCCGGGGAATCCCCGCACACCCAGCAGCGAGGGGCAGCCGGGGGGCCCGGGCTCCTCACCCCGCTCCCCCCGGGACCCCCCGGGACCCACCTGGGCCTGCCAGGAGCCCCACACC